TTGTACAATTAGACGCATAATGGTTGAAAACATACCTAACCACACTGAAAATGTTCAAAGTGTGCATAACTATTAAGGTAATGACAGAATATGGACTTTTAAAAAGAAAATTGGCGTACATGTTGCGTTTTCGATGTCTCACGTTTTTGTTTTCTTCTTGGTTACCCCAAGGCAACTGGCCATGCACCTGTCTGTGCTTTTATCCCCATTTGAACACTTTATACCTGTTATCATCTCCACTAATGAGTAATGGTACAGCAACAGTGTTTGACGTTGCCCATACTATCGATCAGTGGAATGTACCCGGGTATTTGCATATTGTCGTCATGGAGCTTGAATATGGGCGACTACCTAACCAACAAAAAAAACAAAACAAATTATTTGGGGGTAATTACCAACTTGCTGCGCCAAGTTTGATTGAAAGGTCTACAAGGTTAATTCATTCACTCATTGAAATACTACATGCCACACGTGCCAAGTTTCAATTTATTGGGAACTTTGGTTCATTGGAATAAAATTCTTTTTTTAAAAATATTAGATTAGGTTTTCTAAGTCTACCAACGAATCCGAAATAGTTTGATAGTGCTTGACATGCTTCTTAAATTTCTGGATCATCTCCAGCCCAGCTATTTAATGATTAAAATCATGATCATAATTGGTAGGTTTTTTTACTTTAGTGTCAGGGCATATGTCAGAACGATACAAAGAAATAAAAACGTAAAGTGTTTTATTTGTTGGGCGATACCATGTCTACACAAGTATTCATGAAAACGACCAAACTACACCCAGCGTACCAAAGAGCCTTTACAGCTAGGCAAAAACTTAAATGATTGAACACTGGACAGATATTGGGACACTAAAGATGTCTAAGGGGAATGTTTTATTACCGCTTTGGGGTTGCTACGTTACACGGTTCATCCCGTGGTATTATCAAACTAAGGCCTACAACGTTTGTTCTACTGCTATAAATTTCAATTATTGGACTAAGGTTTTGTGGTACAGGTCATTTGAAGTGCATCTCCCCAATATCAAACTGGCTTGACACGTGATTTCATAGGCTATGTCTTCACAAACTAATGCTCTGTGTCACGTACGCAGTGTCTATGTTTAAGCATAGTTTTTGAAAATGTAATTGACGTGATGCAGGGTCTATTGCACAGATACCAGTACACTTTGATTGTTTATTTCACAAAGCAAATAATATGAATATACATATGGAGACATTTATCAATAAATACAATTTTCAATTGAAGAACGGAAATATGCTCCTTTTATTCATTTTTATTTGTCTCAAATGATACATTATTGTTATAATAATGGCAAAGGTTAAATATTGTTTTATTGACATTATTTATGTGCACCATGGAGGCTGATTTGCGTTATGCTCAAAGTGGAGACCGAATGAAAGTTGTTTTAAACCATATTTATATTTTTAAAGTTTGTAAAAGATATGTTTGCTGATTAATACTGAGATACTATTAAGTGCCTTTCGCTTATATTATTTTACTTTTTATGTTGTGTTTATGTGATTTGATTAAAGTTGTTTAAAGCCAGGTGATCACCCAACGAATAATTATGACCTATGAGTAACAAATGCCCTGTGCAGTTGACATTGAACATCTCGGGAATATCATATATGGAATATCTTCTCTATAGCCCCAGGATGATCTTAAGATATATTTCAATAAAAGCGAGAAAAAACATTTCCATAATCATAAAATCCATAAATTGTCGATGTAAGAGAATAACAGTCTAGATTAACCACCAAAACATTCCTTTCGACACCAGACATCTCTGCTTATAGTCCTTTGTACGTTTTCGACCATGTATCCTAAGCATGTGTATGAATCACCTTCAAATTGTGATGATACCAATAGTGATGAAAAGGTGAACATATCCTGCCACAATGGAGGCACCGTCACAAACGCATGCGAATGCAAGCTGAAATAGACTGGAGCTACTGGAACGACGTGAAGGGAAAAGTTGACTATTGAAAAGATGAAGACATCCCTTTGTCGTACAGTCTTGTAGAGAGTTGTGTTATATATACTCAACAACAAAAATTCCCGTGACACCAATATTTTAGTGTATTAAGACGTCCCATTTTGACAGGAAACCACCGTCAAGCACGTCTACAGTGGTGCAGACAGCGTCCACGCTAGACGGCCATGCAGTGGGGACAAGTTCTATTCACTGACGAGTCTCGGTTTTCGCCTCAGCCACAGCGATGGACGGATTCGAGTGTACCGACGTCGAGGTGAACGTAACGTCAATCATTGTGTCATGGAAGAAGATCGGTTCGGGGGGGGGGGGGGGGGGGGGGGGGCAGCGTTATTGTATGGGGTGGTATTACAGCAAGACAGAGAACCCGTTTGATAGTGGTAGCGGGAAATCTCAATGGACAGCGCTACCGCGACGAGATCATCGGCCCTGTTGCTCTACCGTTTTTGCGTCGTCCAGGCATTACCTTTCAACATGACAATGCCCGGCCTCATATTGTTCTGGATTCTCTTCAACAAAACAACGTAAATGTCATCACCCGGCCGGCTCGCTCCCCTGATCTCTCACCAATCGAGCACATGTTGGATGAGATGGATCGGCGCCTTCGACGTCAACCACGTGTTCCACAGTTACTCCAGGAACTTCCAAACATGCTCCAGCAGATATGGACAGATATCCCAAAGGACTTTGTGCGACGCTTGGTCCATTCCATGAGACGAAGATGTGTTGCTTGCATCGCAACCAGAGGTGGACACACACACTATTGATTTGTTAATTGGCATTTCCGCATGTTCGTGGTTTTTTTTATGAAATCACACATTTTCTGAAGTCAGTATGGCACATTAAACCATTTGAATTCTTTCCGGAGTCTTTTATCTGTTGCAAACCGAAATTGTTTCAGATTTGGTAAAAACCAAAACTTTGTATTAAATCTTATTCAATGTCAGAGGAACTTTTGTTGTTCAGTAGATAAAACAGGTGTCGTTCTATTGGTCTCCTATAATGCTAGTTGAGGTGGGTAAATCAGGGCAAAGGAATTACATTTGTGAATCATATAAATTCCGCTTGTTTTAAATACTTTCTGTGAATATAAAGAAAGCACTTCCTTGATTGTCACAGGGATTATGGTTAATCTTTGGGACATTGATTTGATTGTACGTTTGCTGGACCATGTAATACATCTTTCTTTGTACGGAGTTTTATGGAGCCTTGGAATACAGGTTTTTGTGTCAAGCCAAATAATGATAGAAATGATGTATGTTTTTAGGAGAACTGGTTTTAGGCTGCTGACGATATGTTGGTCCATATTTGAAAAACGGACGAAGGTATATTTGTCAACAATAGAGAAGTCATCTGCAGATTGGTGGCAGTAGGATAAGTCTTAGCAGACAAATATAGTAGAATCATGAGCTGCCACGTTTTCAGGAAATATCAAGGACTATACGCTCTTGTCGATACTGTGCTCCCTTGTCTTTAAACCCATCCATCAGCAAAATGTGGTCCAGTGTACGATTTCGGCTTTTTCATAAGCATGTGTTTATGAATCACTATCAACTCACTAGAGAATAGCGTTATCGTTTTGTTTTCAAAGGAGACACATAAGCAAACAAAAAAAAACCTTGTTTATATTACAGAAAATGAAAACAAGTATAACAAATCTCACTAAAGCAGACACTTTTTTGTATGTTATGTTATGCTGCAATAACGCTGCATTAGGGCAGATAACCGAACATTGATATCGCAACTGATATCATGTGAGTACTGAGAAATGTGTTGTACATCAGTTTTTAGAAATCATCACATTTGTCAACTATACCGTTGCTATTCATAGATTCATCCAGTAGTCCACATAACCCAAATCCAACGTAGACTATAACGTTGACGTATTTGTTAATTTATTGAAGCGGAATTATAACGTAAACTCAAACATCATTATTGAGACATAATTTTATTCCTTTCTTAGTATATTTTTTCCCTTGCCAAGTTAATATAAACACCATTAGGAAGTGATATTTTAATAACTTGTATTGCTGATGCCAGCACACCCTGACAACTTGCATTTTACTGTCATATTCAAGTACATATAGCACGTGTCACCAAAGAAAGAAGTCGTTATTATCGAGTCATAAGTTATGATGTATTCGAAGAGTGGGACCTTTGCAGTATTTCGAAATATTTCCTATCACGTAAATATGTAGTGACAAAGCAGGTTTTTGTAATTATGTCCGGTTTGGTACTTCAGATTTGAAACATGCTATCACCGGACTTTGCATATCGGTGGTCTCACGGCCTGGAGAACTGAAGGTCCGGGGTTTGATCCGCGGCCGCGTCATACCAAAAGACGTTCAAAGAAACTATGGCATGGTATCTCAGTAGGCTAGCACTTTAAAATCTAGTACAAGCAGACACGCACACACACACACACACACACACACACAAACACACACGCACGCACGCACACACACGCACACACACAGACACACGCACGTGCTTTGTCACTTTTTCCACTCTTCAAGGAAAGCCTTTTCCTGCAGCAGTATCGGATTTGGCATGTGTGGTTCATAGTTCCATTTCTTCCCTTGTTTGCGGGTAAAGGATCATACCGTGCATTGGTTATCATGTCCGGGTTGGCAACACTTAGTTTAAACAAAAGTTAAATATTTTTGAAAGTAAAAGAAAGATGAGTTCAACTTGAACTTGAAGCCTTATACGTACAGGGCAGTCACCATGCATTATACATTTGAATACACAGAGAGGTAATCTGATCAATGCGTTTCCTTACTCATTTTCTGGGACTATTTCTTGTGATCTCCTTGTTGACAGAAAGTATCTTATGTGCAACATATAACATTCTTGTTACAACGGATCTAATTTTTTAAGATAAGAAGTTACAGTAAATCTACACGCCAGGCCCTACACAATACGGAATGCTGAAAATAGCAAGCTGTAACAAGTTTAGTATAAAGTCTAAGTTTTTTCCTTTTGTCTCCCCTCTTATTCTTAACACTCACCCGTCGCCAATAAGCATGCATGACGTTGGTCTCCAAGACCACATCATGGTATAAATGGACAAAGGCGCAGTAGACATTACAGAGCGGTCAGAAAAGGGGAAGAACATGTTGCTGTTGAGAGTTCAACTCTGCTTACCTTTCCTGGGTAAGTTGGCAGTCATGAAAGTCATTTTCTTTTTTAATGTGTAATGATTATTCTAACGCTTAATACAAGGAAGTAATGTGGAGAATAATTACTTAAAAGAGTCATTAAGTAATGTGCATTTAAGACTAAAATTATCTACTGGTAGAAATGTAAATTGGGAAATATTTTTTCTTAAACTTAAATAACAAAATAATGTATACAGTGTGACAGTTTCCTATGAACATGCAAATACATTAATAGGGAAACGTCACACATTGTCTCTGTTCTTAGTGTTAACACGCTGGACAGTTTTACATGCCGTCTATGAAGCATTCGCGACTGTGAATATATTTATACTTATATTTAGATAACAAATCAACAACAATGTTAAACATAATAAAACAATAATAATACATGAAATTTCACACTTTATGCCCTTTCTTAGTTTTAACATGCTGGGCAGTTCTCAACGGCGTCTCTGGATCGTGCTCGGTTGACGGTGATTGCCAGCATTCAGGCACATGCGACACAACCAACAAAATATGTGACTGTACCAATACTGGGTATGATGGTGACACCTGTGAAAATGGTAAATATGTTTCAAGTAGTTAATTCTATTTAGGAATTTCAATATAGTTATTCAACAAAATCTATGACTTTTAGCTAGAAATTTATACATGGGATTTAAGATAACGACGTGTATATGATATGCCGAATCTATATTTCTCTGTGTCAGTGATACATATTGGTACAAAGAAAATAGTAAACGTGTACCCGGTGGAATAAAATAGGTATCTAACGCGAAAAAGCGTTGTAATTGTGTAAATATAGCTTTGTGTAATTATACGTTTATAAAAGACACAACTGATGGCATAATGGTGTATGAGAACATACTACCTGATGATTTGAATGTTTCCCTCCCTCTTGCTTTCCTTGAAGCTTGTGCGCCGAAACATGTATGTTAATATAACCGTTGCCCTTCCAAAAAAATGTTTCGTAAACGTTCAAAGCTCGTGATCACACAAATTGAAATAATCAGTTGACAAGAAAACATTGCCATAGTTTTACTTTCAATGCGTGTTGGTTTACGGTTAGGCTACTCTCATTTTGATAGATGATGGTCTGTTTCGTACGTTCTGTGTTAAATGAGGTTGTTGCACATTCTCCAGTTGTATAGCATGGTAGTGAGTAATTACGGGATCTCTGAATATAAACATGTTCCGAATTGTGTAATGATTTCAATGTAATCAGGTTGGTAAACATCAGCAGATACTATCGATCAAGCACTAAATTGTTTAACTGCTTGTCAAACAACCGTTTGCGATTTTAGCATGAGGACCAGGGCCAATGTTTAAAGCAAGTTTTTGTGCCGCTCGTGTATTTGAAAAGCACGTGTCAGTGCTTCATCAATACTTTGATCGTGCCAAATAGAAGTGTATAGATATGGAGAACACATTATTCGAGTTGGCACACATATGTCAGATATCAAAGTGTTATGTGATGATGGTGTTACTCTAGTGTGTTATAGATTGTGACATGTTGTGTTGCCACCAGGGTACACTGACAATGTTTCCTACTAATTATATTTTCAGATAATAATAATAATAATAAAAATAATAATCATTATAATAATGCGTAACATTATTGAAACAGCGTGATTACGAAAACCTCTCTTGTTTTATTGAATTACATGTTTTTGTTTATTACATTCGTTTGATATCATAATGTTTGTATTCATTTTCCGAGGTCGACTATTATGTGTCACAGGCGAGTGGATTCTAAAGTGAGTGAGTGAGCGTGTGAATGAAGTGTTAAACAGTTATCATTACATTAAAATATATTTGTGGTTATGCATGATATCGGTGAATGTACAGCCACTGATGTATTTGGCTTTCTTACATTGTTGTATGGGAGTCCAATGTATTTACAATTGATGTTCCAAGTTGATGCTTGTAATCGTATCCGCAATGGCGTCGATGGCTCATGATATCAATCACTGGATTGTCTGGTCCAGACTTGATTATTTACACACCACCCTCAAATTTCTGAGTGCGGCGTTAAACAACAAACAAACAAACAACAACTAAATGCAATTTCATTCCCCATTAATCCAGTTTCCTGAGAGTCATTTTGTTGATGTAATCTTCAAACATAATCTGAAGAGTTAGCAATGTCATTGGCATATAAATATACCTGTGCACCGGCAAGCGTTCATTTCTGCTATAAGCTCCATGATATAGAATGAGAACAGAATTAGCCCAACCATACATCCATGGCTGTACCCACACCACACGAAGGGACAGTTTTCCCAAAATTATGCATGTCAGGAAATGAACGTATAATCCGTATGAGCTATGTTTGAAATGTACGTATCATTTATCCGCGACATTTGCACTGATTAAGCAGGCCTTGAATATATGAGCATTCAAATGACCATGAACATATACCACATAGGTGTGTATATATGGTCATCGTCTCCATAACTTTTTTAGCGTGTATAAGTGTCGAAAATGTTGTGCATACATGGCACAGATTGTCGTATGCTTGAAATCGTGAATGACAGGGTTCAGATTTATCCTATGTTTCATACGCTACTAAATATTCGGTAATATGTACATGGAAAATTGATATAAAAAAACATGTATTTTAATGGTTCGGAAAAGGTTTATGAATACACACACACACACACACACACACACACACACACACACACACACACACACACGTTTATGTGCGTGGGTTTTATGCTTGCAACCTTGTTATACAATCAAATGTCTTTGCGTTACGAACAATTATGTTCATGTTTTTCAGGACATTATTCAAAGAAAGTATGTTTCCATGATCTTTCAAATAATCCCAGCCTCAATCGATCATTAGTTTTCAATGTCCGTGAAATGTTGACTGAAGATACTGAGAGTTGTCATGATCATGTACTGAGAATGGATTTCAAAGTAATGTTCCGAAAAGTAACAGTTTGACTGAACCCATAACAGTGAGTGAGTGAGTGAGTTAATATTTAAAGTCACATCGGCAGTATTTCAGCGCCCTGAGCAGTGTCCTAGTAACAGTTTTGGTTTGGTTTGATGTTTATCGCCGAACTCAGCAATATTCAAACTATGTGACGGCGGTCTGTAAATAATTGAGTCTGGACCAAACAATCCAATGATTGACATCATGAGCATCGATCCACGCAATTGGGATACGATGACATGCATCAACCAAGTCAGCAAGCCTGACCACCAGATCCCGTTAGTCCTCACTAATAACAATGTTTACGATCTAAACCATGGCTACAATGAGAAAACAACAAGGGCTTCCAAGTTAAACCAGGTGAGTTTAACTACAATCATTTGCTTGCATGCTGCTGTATGTAATTATTGATATTCAGATAATCAACTTTTTAATGTCCAAATGTGTGGAGAGGTAACTAAGGAAAGACAACATTAACGATATTCCATACTTTGTTTATGTTCAAAACATGTTGAAATTGTGGGATATTGATGCAGGCATGTGTTGTTTTCCATAAACGTGTTGAGTTAAAATACGGAAAGGCTTTCTTCATTTTGTCTTAAACATTATCCGAATACGTTTACAGTTAATATGTTTGGTATCTGTTTTATAACTTAAACAATTTAACAGTGTTTTAATGTGATAACATTTAAAATACTTTGCTCTTTGGTTATAGGTTTGACAACTTCAGCAAAAACATTTTGTGTACTAAAAGGGATTTTAGAACAAACGAAAAAAACATTTCTGGCGGACTTTGTGAATGCTGTTACAGAATTAATCGAACTGAAATAGAAGTTATTCTATAATATAAAGAGTGGGCCATTATACAGTATCCATACATAAGAACGAGAGATCACAATACAATTTAATTCTGGCAGACTAAGCAAACATCATAGTAGACACAATAATCAAGACCAAGTATCAGTGATTACAATCAAAATGTCTCACTCATGCAAAATATTCTCTCATGACCCAGAATATATTGAACAGAATCCATTGTAATCCATTTATTGCACAAAGTTCACATATTGCCATCTTGGCACATACAATTGAAGTTTCAAATATAGCCGACATGGCACATCTATGGCTATGAGCTTACCATAGCTCAAACATAGACAATGCAAATGTGTGTAATTGGTGAATAGAGGGTCAGTGTTTATCACTGGCATCATCTACACAAGCAAAATGAAAATTAAGTATATCTAATATATTCTTCATATTGGATTTTCATAACAGTAATGATTCCTAATACTGTAGATTGTTAACATTGTTTTGGTGTTTGTGCGATAATGTCGTGATTAGAATCTAATCTCAGCTGACAATTGTGGCTGTTTCGTGTCGTCAGAGGGTTGTTCCCACAGATCGCGTTCGTTTATCCGACATCATTGTGTCTGTAATTACATTTCATCATTAATCATCGAAACATTTATCGGGCTACTTAACATTTCTTCAGGTGTATAGTATAGTGTATTGTATAAGTGATGGTAGCCTTGCATGTCCCCCCCCCCCCCCCCCACACACTCCGATTGGACTGTCCAACAGCTAAGACGTGGTGTCCTTTATCAACCGGACCCCATTCAGTCAGAATCGTACAGAACATTCTTGCAGCACAACAACGTTAACGTTTAGACGTGGCCTGCACGCTCCCCAGACATGCCCCACATAGAACACCTCCGAGATGTCATGGATCGTCGTGTTCGAAAAAAACCACATCCACCAGCCAACCAACAAGAACTGATCCAGCCAATACCAGAAGAATGGCGACGTATCCCACGTGACGTCATCAGACGACTGACCTTTTTCTGTGCTCCGGAGAGTTTTTGCGTATCTTGTAGCAGGGGGTGGTCATACACGCATTAATGTGACGTGTCATTGAACTTGAGCGATTTTAGATTTGTGTGCCCTTTGTCCATTACCGTGAAAACTTGTTTTTAACTATCCAACGTCAATTCGGACAACTGTCATGCCAATATCGGATGTTGTATACTCTCTCAAAAACGAAACGCATATAAGAATTTTAACTACAGATTTCTTTTTATTTTGATACACTGTGGACAAGTTAATAGCAAATGGAATTCAAAGAAATGTTACACAGGAAATGTCAAGGTATCGCTGTTTAATAAGACATCGGAAAAAGTCAGTTTATGAATCACACATCGACTTTTGATGGCGCTGAAGTCAGTACCTCGTATGACCATCATTGGCGTTCAGAACTGCGCGACATCGTCTCGGCATAGAACGAATTAGTCTCTGAATCTGATGTTGCTGCAATGTAGCCCACTCTGCCTGTAGTGCATGTGCTAGTCTTCACAAACTTCCAAATAAAGTGAATGAAAAAAGACGGATATCGATCTTTTATACCCATCCACGACACGCTGTGATCCCCGAGTTTCCCGCGCATTGCCCGTGCAATACGTGTTCTGTGACATTAAATGCGTCTATCGAAAATTATGCTTTAACATACGGGTTTTTCATGGGGGATGCGTTTGGATATGACGTTTTAAGACAAAAACACCAGAGAAATCATAAACAAAACAAATATTTTTGAAAAACCCACGCTGTACCAATACATTGCTGCATCAAATTACCATTTTCGTTATGCGTTTTTTTTGGAGAGAGTATATGTCTTTTAGTTTAAATGTTGATTTCGTTGAAAATTTGTTCTTTTAAATACATTTTTCTACAAACATCTAATACACGTACAATTGTTTTCACTCTGGTAGATATCGATGAATGCACTGATGGTACACATAACTGCCATGCTAACGCCGACTGCACAAACACGGATGGCTCCTTCACCTGTAAATGCAAGGATGGCCATGCTGGGGACGGAGTGAAATGCGAGTGGTATCTCTTCTCCATGTGTAGACCAACGATTTTGGTTAATGCAAAACAAACGTTTTTACATCAAATTTAAATATTTAATTGAGAGAACTTCTTTCTCGTGGATTTTCTAATGTACAATACCACGTGCCGGTTATAAGGTTAATCTTGAGCAGAAAGCACACGCTAACGATACCCATGTTGGATCACTTACAGAGAATAATGATAATATGTGTTCCTTTGCATAAGTTCTAATGGAAAGAAAGTACAAAATAACTTTATGCAAATGTGTATCATTTTCCTGTATTGTTTTAGGTACCGACTGTACAGAAAATGGCAACGAGTGCTTAAATGATGGTACTTGTGACATTCCATCGGGTGAGACGGCTGGTACATGCTTATGCAAAACCGGATACAGTGGCCGTATTTGTGAAGACGGTAGGTACATGCAATTTGTTAATAGGCTCATTCCCATATGTCCATAGTGTATTCCATCTGACCCAAAGGTCATCGTTAATTGAATATATGATTGGACATTTATACAATTATGTAGGTTGTACTGTTTTCGTAATATCAATCAGATTGATTTCTTTTGGCTTTGTACTTTGAAGTTCAATTCTTTCACATTGTACAGAACACTGCGACAGTGATGCTGTAACCTCTTTCAGACAGGATTGTTTCATATTAAACGCAGCGTTTATGTCCCTTTAGTTTTATTTACTACACATTAATCGCTAATACTTTTAATGCTGTTATAATCTGCATTTGCGAATCGGAAGAGATACTAAATAAATAACAATATAAGCTGAAGTGAAAAGCATCAATACATTTATAAAAGGCCAAGAAAGTTTAAACTGTGTCCAAATAGTAATTGTAGAGCAAAGTATTTTCAGCTGGCATAGAACGTCTTTGTTGATTGAATTGAGTATTTTGGGAAAACATATCACAAATGTTACTAACATTACGCGTTTTTGCGTATCTTGTAGCAGGGGGTGGTCATACACGCTCATAATGTGACGTGTCGTTGAACTTGAGCGATTTTAGATTTCTGTGTCCTTTGTCCATTACGTTGAAGGCTTGTTTTTTTACTATCAAACGTCAATTCGGACAACTGCCATGCCAATATCGGATGTTGTATGACTTTTAGTTTAAATGTTAATTTTTGTGAGATTTTGATCTTTTTAATACATTTTACTACATGCATCCAATACATGTACAATTGTTTTCACTCTGGTAGATATCGACGAATGCACTGATGGTACACATAACTGCCATGCTAACGCCGACTGCACAAACACGGATGGCTCCTTCACCTGTAAATGCAAGGATGGCTATGATGGGGACGGAGTGAAATGTGAGTGGTATCTCTTCTCCATGTCAGACCCACAATTTTTGTTAATGCAAAACAAACGTTGTTACTTCAAATTTAAATACTTAATTGAAAACACTTCTTTCTCGTGGAATTTCTAATATACAATACCACGTGCCGGTTATAAGGTTAATCTTGAGCAGAAAGCACACGCTAACGATACCCATGTTGAATCACTAACAGACAATAATGATAATATGTGTTACTTTAGATAAGTTCTAACGGAAAGAAAGTATAAAATAACATTATGTTAATGTGTATCATTTTTCTGTTTTGTTTTAGGTACTGACTGTACAGAAAATGGCAACGAGTGCTTAAATGATGGTACTTGTGACATTCCATCGGGTGAGGCAGCTGGTACATGCTCTTGCAAAAACGGATACAGTGGTCCTATTTGTGCAGATGGTAGGTACATGCAATTTGTTAATAGGTTCATTCCCGTATGTCCATAGTGTATTCCATCTGACCAAAGAAGTCATCGTTAATTGAATATATGATTGGGCATTTATACAATTATGTAGGTGGTACTGTTTTCTGAATATAATTCAGACTGAATTCTTTTGGCTCTGTACTTTGAAGTTCAATTCTTTCACATTGTACATAACACTGCGACTGTGATGCTGTAACCTCTTTCAGACAGGATTGTTTCATATTAAATGCAACGTCTATGTCCCCTTTGTTACATTTACTACACATTAATCAATACTTTTAATGCTGTAATGATCTGCTTTTGCGAATCGGAAGAGATGCTAAATAAATAACAATATAAGCTAAAGTGAAAAGCATCAATACATGTATTAAAGGCCAAGAAAGTTTAAACTGTGTCAAAATAGTAATGTAGAGCAAAGTATTTTCAACTGTCATGTAACGTCTTAGTTGATTGATTTGAGTATTTTGGGAAAACATATCACAAATGTTACTAACATTATGCTTAACCACAATACATATTAGGGAATGAATATAAAGTACATACCCGATGGCTAATCATTCAAATACGATTGGCAACGATAGGACAGCCGTGTATGTAAACTGACTGCCAAAAAAACTTCACCAATTTAGAAATCAACTTGGAAAGAATTCACAACCTAAATTCAAACTTAATCTAAGCAAAACAAATCGTCAAAACACAACACAGTTCTATGCAGAAAATGCTACACGTCCACGGTTCGGTTTTTAGAAAATACGAAGGAGTAAAAACACGTGCCGCTTTTTAAGCCAAAACCGAGGATTTCTGGGAAGGACCTTCCATTTTTTCAACAGCTAGCAGGGATGTTCTTATCAACATGACAACGCCAGACCCCATTCAGTCAGAATCGTCTTCGCCTGCGCCCTGCCCATATATGCCCCCCATAGAACACCTCCGAGATGTCATGGATCTTCGTGATCAACAAAATCCACATCCACCAGCCAACCCACAAGAATGATCCAGCCAATACAAGAAGAATGGCGACGTATCCTGCGTGATGTCATCAGACCTCTAACCTTTTACTGTGCCCTGGAGAGTTTTGCACATCTTGTAGCAGGGGGTGGTCATACACGCTATTAACGTGACGTGTCATTGAACTTGAGCGATTTTAGATTTGTGTGTCCTTTGTCCATTACGTTGAAGGCTTGTTTTTTTACTATCAAACGTCAATTCGGACAACTGTCATGCCAATATCGGATGTTGTATGACTTTTAGTTTAAATGTTCATTTTGTTGAGATTTTCATCTTTTTAATACATTTTACTACATGCATCCAATACATGTACAAATGTTTTCACTCTGGTAGATATCGACGAATGCACTGATGGTACACATAACTGCCATGCTAAGGCCGACTGCACAAACACGGATGGCTCCTTCACCTGTAAATGCAAGGATGGCTATGATGGGGACGGAGTGAAATGTGAGTGGTATCTCTTTTCCATGTTAGACCCACAATTTTTGTTAATGCAAAACAAACGTTTTTACTTCAAATTTAAATACTTAATTGAAAACACTTCTTTCTCGTGGAATTTCTAATATACAATACCACGTTCCGGTTACAAGGTTAATCTTGAGCAGAAAGCACACGCTAACGATACCCATGTTGAATCACTAACAGACAATAATGATATTATGCGTTACTATACATACGTTCTAATGGAAAGAAAGTAAAAAATAACATGTTGATGTGTATCATTTTTCTGTTTTGTTTTAGGTACCGACTGTACAGTAAATGGCAACGAGTGCTTAAATGATGGTACGTGTGACATTCCACCGGGTGAGACGGATGGTACATGCTCTTGCAAAAACGGATACAGTGGTCCTCTTTGTGCAGATGGTAGGTACATGCAATTTGTTAATAGGATCATTCCCGTATGTCCATAGTGTATTCCATCTGACCCAAAAGTCATCGTTAATTGAATATATGATTGGGCATTTATACAATTATGTAGGTGGTACTGTTTTCTGAATATAATTCAGATTGAATTCTTTTGGCTTTGTACTTTGAAGTTCAATTCGTTCACATTGTACATAACACTGCGACTGTGATGCTGTAACCATTTACAGCCCGGATTGTTTCATAATAATTGCAACGTCTATGTCCCCTTTATTTTATTTACTACACATAAATCAATACTTTTAATGCTGTAATGATCTGCTTTTGCGAATCGGAAGAGATGCTAAATAAATAACAATATAAGCTAAAGTGAAAAGCATCAATACATTTATTAAAGGCCAAGAAAGTTTAAACTGTGTTAAAATAGTAATGTAGAGCAAAGTATTTTCAACTGTCATAGAACGTCTTAGTTGATTGAATTGAGTATTTTGGGAAAACATATCACAAATAATTCTAGCATTACGCTTAACGACAATACATACTAGGGAATAATTACAAAGTACATACCCGATGGCTAATCATTCAAATACGATTGGCAATGATAGGACAGGCGTGTATGTAAACTGACTGCCATAAAACTTCACCAATTTAAAAATGAACTTGGAAAGAATTCACAACCTAAATTCAAACTAAGTCTAAGCAAAACAAATCGTCTAAACACAACACTGTTCTATGCAGAAAATGCTACACGTCCACGGTTCGGTTTTAAAAACCACATGCCGCTTTTTAAGCCGAAACCAAGGATTTCTGGGAAGGACCTACCATTTTTTGAACGGCTAGCATGTGCTGTTTTTATCAACATGACAACGCCAGACCCCATTCAGTCAGAATACTCTTGGCCTGCGCGCTGCCCATACATGCCCCCCATAGAACACCTCCGAGATGTCATGGATCGTCGTGTTCAACAAAAACCACATTCACCAGCCACCCACAAGAACTGATCCAGCCAATACAAGAAGAATGGCGACGTATCCTGCGAGATGTCATCAGACCTCTAACCTTTTTCTGTGCCCTGGAGAGTTTTGCGTATCTTCTAACAGGGGGTGGTCATACACGCTATTCACGTGACTTGTCATTGAACTTGAGCGATTTTAGATTTGTGTGTCCTTTGTCCATTACGTTGAAGGCTTGTTTTTTTACTATCAAACGTCAATTCGGACAACTGTCATGCCAATATCGGATGTTGTATGACTTTTAGTTTAAATGTTCATTTTTGTGAGATTTTCATCTTTTTATTACATTTTACTACATGCATCCAATACATGTACAATTGTTTTCACTCTGGTAGATATCGACGAATGCACTGATGGTACACATAACTGCCATGCTAAGGCCGACTGCACAAACACGGATGGCTCCTTCACCTGTAAATGCAAGGATGGCTATGATGGGGACGGAGTGAAATGTGAGTGGTATCTCTTTTCCATGTTAGACCCACAATTTTTGTTAATGCAAAACAAACGTTTTTACTTCAAATTTAAATACTTAATTGAAAACACTTCTTTCTCGTGGAATTTCTAATATACAATACCACGTTCCGGTTACAAGGTTAATCTTGAGCAGAAAGCACACGCTAACGATACCCATGTTGAATCACTAACAGACAATAATGATATTATGCGTTACTATACATACGTTCTAATGGAAAGAAAGTAAAAAATAACATGTTGATGTGTATCATTTTTCTGTTTTGTTTTAGGTACCGACTGTACAGTAAATGGCAACGAGTGCTTAAATGATGGTATTTGTGACATTCCACCGGGTGAGACGGATGGTACATGCTCTTGCAAAAACGGATACAGTGGTTCTCTTTGTGCAGATGGTAGGTACATGCAATTTGTTAATAGGATCATTCCCGTATGTCCATAGTGTATTCCATCTGACCCAAAAGTCATCGTTAATTGAATATATGATTGGGCATTTATACAATTATGTAGGTGGTACTGTTTTCTGAATATAATTCAGATTGAATTCTTTTGGCTTTGTACTTTGAAGTTCAATTCGTTCACATTGTACATAACACTGCGACAGTGATGCTGTAACCTCTTTCAGACAGGATTGTTTCATATTAAATACAACGTTTATGTCCCTTTAGTTTTATTTACTACACATTAATTGCTAATACTTTTAATGCTGTTATGATCTGCTTTTGCGAATTGGAAGAGATGCTAAATAAATAACAACATAAGCTAAAGTGAAAAGCATCAATACATTTATTAAAGGCCAAGAAAGTTTAAACTGTGTCAAAATAATAATGTAGAGCAAAGTATTTTCAACTGTCATAGAACGTCTTGAGGATTGAATTGAGTATTTTGGGAAAACATATCACAAATGTTACAAAATAAAAACATTGCCATTATTCTACTTTCAAGGCGTGTTGGTTAAAAAGTGAGAATACTCTCGTTTTGAAACATGATGGTCTGGTTCGAACGTACTGGGTTAAATGAGGTTGCTGCACATTTAACCAAATGTGTAGCATGGTAGTCGGCAATTACGGGATCTCTGAATATAAACATGTTCCGAATTTTGAAATGATTTCAGTGCAGTCAGGTTGATGAACATCAGCACATACTATCTAAATTGTTTTAAGGGCTTGACAAATATTCGTGTGTGATTGTAGCGTTAGAACAAGGGCCAATGTTTAAAGCAATTTTTTGTTTTTTTCCTTTATTCGTGTATTTGAAAAGCATGTGTCAGAGTGCTTCGTCGAGGAATCGTTCGTGCCAAACAGAAGTGTATTGATATCGAGAGCACATCATTCGACTCGGCACACATATATCAGATACCAAAGTGTTGTGTGAAGATGTGTGATAAGTGGTGTTATAGACCATGATATGCTGTACATGTGTTGCCCCCAGAGCACGATTTATAGTCAGCTGACAATGTTTCCTACTAATTTAAGTTTTAAGATATAGTTGAAAGAAGAATGTCCTTATCATTGAATGCGGAACCTGTAACCATACCATAAGAACCATAACCGTCCCATAAGAATATCACAAGTGTTATTTCATTCTATTCCAGAACACGATTACCAACATGCCATTCTTTCCCGATTTATTTACAAATATAGCTGTGTACAGTTGAGGATATTAAGAAACGGCATGTATTGAGTGTGCGTTTCAACAAATAAAGTTCTGAAACCAAAAGTCGAAAGTTAACAGTATGACTTAACTCATAACAGTATTTGCACGCTCCAGCCATTGACGCAAGGGTCCTGATAGTGTAACGTTTATTAATAAAAGACTGAGAGTATAACTTATTCTTATAAGAGAGGAGTCTTATCATTATATCAGCCAGTCATATTCATCTATTGAGTATAAATATTAGAAGTGGGCACTTCCTCCTCTGGACAACACCACCACCTCCTCCCCAACCACCACCCCACCCTCCAACATCACCCGCAGAAGTTAGCTAATTGGTATCTACACTCTTAAAAGTGTTTAACCCGACTTTGACGATACTTTATACGCGTTTTGATGCCTCGATATTTTTTTTGTTATTCTGAACATGTTCAGAAGTGTTTTGAGTACAAACGTTATGAATTCAAAAAAATTACACTCCGAACAATTTACTTGATTTATGTTGCTGAGGCATGGTCACAATTGGAAAATACCAAGGGTCCATGTCAAGAACATTTCTACAATCGTTGCTTGGCTCTTGCATACTTCTGTATGTATTAGTGAAACAATATTCAGATAATTTAACTATTTAATGCCTAAATGTGTTGGAGTGGGAGATATTATCAAAAAAATGGAATGATATGGTATTCCACAGCGATCGGCATTTCTCTTCTGACTAATGATAAATTGCATTATCCTAAAACGTATTTCTTCAATACTCTTCGTGAGTTTGATATAATTATCATTGAGACATCAATTGCACATCTACTGTAAACGTACGTATCTCGTACAGACACGCGAAGGGAGTTTAAGGAATACATATTCCACATCATCCATATTCCACACTTTTTAACAACATGTTTATGTTCAAAATATATTGTGATTTTCGTGTTGTGATGCAGGCATGTGTTGTAGATCATAAATGTGTTGAGTTGCTTTTAATTTAAACTTATATCCGAAGCACCTTCGTAGCTAGTATTTCTAGCAGCTTTTTATACATAAACACATTATTACAGTGTATTAATGCCACAACATCTTATGGACACGACCCCTTGCTCTTTGGTTATGTGTATGACACATTAAGTGTAAACATTTTGGAAGCTGAAAAGATTTTTAGAATATATTGATGCCAGAAACCTGTGATCGTGGGGTCAAATTCGCCCTCATTACGTATATATCAGGTTAGGATATTGTGATAAAACCTAAAATTGATCTGATAAGCCACTCGTACTCACCTGATTTGCTTCACTGCTGCATTTTGAAACCCTTGTTTTAGAGTTGGAAGAGTTTTATGAAAATAGCACAAACTGTGAATTAGATGGAACAATGGGATGATAGCCTTAAATATCGTTTTCATATCTATAAACCTGCAGAGTGTCGTTATTTAGATTTTTAATACACTGAGAAAAAAAAATAATTTTGTAACTACGGTATACACATTTTGTGTGTTCTGTCTAAACACGTTTAGGGTCTACACACATGAAATGAGATATCGTCTCACAGCCAAATCACCACCTAAACGCAACATCCCGATAAATCAGATTCACAGGTACTTGCATAACGCATATACCACCAGGACTTACAACGAACTTGGTACAACATTGTCATGAATACGTACAAATAAACCCGCTAAATGTGACTAGGTCGCCATAGCACAGGTGGTAGCGGGGGTGGGGTGGGACTACAAATCGAAAGGTTGTAGCTAGGTTCGAATCGATTGGATTGACGCGACCAGGGATCGAATCCCTGACGTTTTGCTCTCTGGGCGCACGCCCTACGACGGCGGCGGTCCCACCTAGTTAAATAGGTACTAACTGATTAGTAAAGTCTTCTTAATTGTTAGTTTCTGAGTGGACAATGAATTTCACTAAGTTAGTAAATTTTACAAACTGTTTTCTAGTGCATTTCAATGCAAGGCTTGCTATGTTTGGGACGGGGGTAAATGCAAGTGCTATTGAACGTTTGTTTTTTCGCATTTCCACTTCAAATATCCTATACACGTTAAATTGTTTCTATTTTTGTAGATATCGACGAATGCACTGATGGTACAGATAACTGCCATGAAAACTCTGACTGCACAAACACGGATGGCTCTTTCACCTGTACATGCAAGGCTGGCCATGTTGGGGACGGAGTGGAATGCGAACGTAACTGCATCTTGCAAATGCATTCATTACAAAATTACTGTAGCCATGAGCAATGTTGAACCTTCGATGGCTTAACCATCATTGGCGTATGTCGAATGCATCCTCATTTGACGCCATTCCATCTTCTAATCTGAAGACACATCATTTTTGTTGATAATCATATCACTGCAAAGGAAAATATTTGAGTGGTATCAAGGTCAGGCATCCTACACTAAAGTTTTGATATTTGCCTGAGAAATTGAAACATAGACGTAAAGAAGGCATGTTGTATAAATTAAAATGTTATAATATAAATTATCTACTACTTACTGACAAGGTTGTCACATATGTAAGACATGTCTCATGGTATATTATCTCCTGATTTTGGCAGAAATCTCCACCATCATCTAACGCCTCTGTATGACAAATCTAAGATAATGAAAAAGCTATTTATAACTGTGACAAGAAGGTGTATTATAAATAATGTGTGCTCTTAGTTACCCGTTTTATGCACGTCGCTATATAAGTGCAATAATCTTGGACGCGACGTTAAACCCCATTTCACCTCACCTCACCTACCCGTTTTATGGCTTCCTTTGCTTGGTTGATGCATATAACTAAGGTGCCTCAGATGAGAATTTGGAGAACATTTAGCCAGAGAGACTTAACACACCCATTTAGATATTACTAGGATGTGAAATTCAGTTCATTGTTGTCCCTCAAATTCGATTTGCCCTAGGAAGAAGTTATTTTGACAAACTACTCCTACTTCATATCAATTTGCTGGCACATTATTATGAAGTGCGGTGTTAAACAACAAACAATTGCAAACAAAACATATCAATAATATATTATGATCGTTTCATCTTTTTCAGTTATTGTGGCTCTGTGTCACTGACATATTGTTAAGGAAATAGGCATAACACTGACATGAATGTCCTGTATTTCAGCTTCTGGTGCTGCTACGGTATCGGTGCACTTCCTTCTGCTCATAGTTGTTGCTGTCCTCGCAAAGCTGTGCCTCAACTGAATACAACCAGACCGGAACACGACTAATACAGTGTAGTAGATGTGTTTAATTTTCCTACAAGACTTCATAGACTTGGATACTTCATTTCGTTTAATGTTGTGATTGATTAATTGTGCTTACACTAAACGCACTAAATCAAGTTCCAGTAACATCATTCAATAATTTCAACAATAGATGGTCGTTTTATTGGTGACATGTGTGAAATGTTTCATCCTGATTAGAAATTTAACAGTGTGAATAGTGGAACAAATACTCCAAAATTTGAAAAAAATAAACCCCAGCATAATTCCTAGAAAGGAACATGTCCACGTGTGTTATTCGGACCTGCATTTCAGTGATTTTTATATTCGTCTGTTTCATGCCAATGTAATTCCCTCACTATTGATAAGAAGACAAAATTCGTCCCTGGTTACTTTTAGGCCATTGATAACATATTACTGATGACGTGGAACTGTCTCCCCCAGTGACCACCGACACAGAGTGAATGTTATCTACTTCTTAACTGTAGTGACAGTGAGCGATTGTTACCTACCCACCCAAAGGACCTTTTATGATGTATAATCGGATTAATAGTTTATAATATAATAAAATACATGCATTCAGTTTCACGCGTAATTGTTGTTTATTTGATGGATAGTTTTACAAGGTGAGGATATATGTGCCAGAAGGTAACGACAATGTGATGATTTTATATTAAAGTGACAAGAACACCTTATCAATGCATCAAAGTTATAACTAAATATAAAGCACCGCATGCGTAGTGTGGTGGAAGAGCGTCTCTCCGGAGGGCGGAACATCGTGGGTTCGATCCCCGGTCGCAGCATACCTAAAGACGTTAAAACATGGTACTTGCTGTTACCCTGCCTAGCGCTCAACATCAGAGGCTAAAACAAGGACTGGTCAGCTCGGAGTCAGTTTTCGGTGTCTGAGTGGGATTCATGTTAAACCCTGCCATGGTATCTCAGAGTGCTAGTACTATACTTACTAGTAAAAGTACTAGTATAAGTAGCCACACACACAATCTTGAACGCGACGTTTTGGTTGAACTATTGAAAAAAACACTTTGTAAAACATGTTAAAAAATGTTACAAAGTACACATTTACACCCAAAAGAAGCCATCCGTGATTCTATTGTTGTCTAAAAAGCAACAAACAACTACCCTGATACCCTCAACCAGTGCGTGTGCATATTGAAATCCCAGCCAGAGGCCGAGGCTGTGACGTCATGACCATTTGATTTTGTCTACTGTGCATTTATTAACATGCCAATACAGTGTTTTTCCGTCATTCTCGGGGTATTGGTTGGTTGGTTGGTTTGTTGTTTAACGCCGCACTCAGCAATATTCCAGCTATATGACGGCGGTCTGTAAATAATCGAGTCTGGACCAGACAATCCAGTGATTGACATCATGAGCATCAATCCACGCAATTGGGATCGATGACATGCATCAACCAAGTCAGCGAGCCTGACCACCCGATCCCGTTAGTCGCCTTATACGACAAGCATAGTCACCTTTTACTGCAAGCATGGGTTGCTGAAGACCTGTTCTACCCCGGAATCTTCCTGGGTATCTCGGGGTATTGAAGACGCAAAATAGGGAATTGTGTTGCGTTGGGGTGTACTAGTACATCAAACAAAAGTACCAAGTATCATTTCTTGCAATTTCCAAGCGAAAAAGATGATTTAGCTAGGAGGAAAGTTTGTTTTTCTGCAGGAAAGGCCTCGCTTATTTTAGTCACAAAATATGCAGGATAAAGTTTTCTCCTATTTAGGACCTTCTGTATGCACATTATCCGTAAGCCCTGAGTTAATTGAGTCGTTATTATTTTTAATTTTTTTTAAAAGAACATAAAACAGGTTAATACCGCATACTTTATATACGACCCGTGGAGATCCGTGTCGTAAGAGGCGACAAACGGGATCGAGTGACCACGCTCGCTGACTTGGTTGATGCATGTCATCGTTTCCCAATTGCGTGGATCGATGCTCAGGATATCAATCACTGTATTGTCAGGTCCAGACTGGATGATTTACATACAACCGTCATATAGCTGAAAGATATTGCGAGAATGATTTTACGATAAATGTGAAAAGGGATTTGTGTGTCAGTTTTATTGGATATATGTTTATTATCGACTATAAAAAATTAGAGACTGGTCCAGGTGTTTTAAACAAGTTATCTTTATCTTCGGTGAGGAGGGTGTAGTTTTTACTGATTTTGGATTTCAAATTGGGTCGGGGGGCTAACCCGCCGAATCCGGCATCTGGATCCACCACCAAGGATTACTTCAGTCATTTTCCGTGCCTAGGATTAGTTATTGTATGGCGAAAACTGTTCGGTTAGATAAGTGGGAATGTGGTGGACATTTGTAGAGGACAGTTATTTATTTTGTGATATTGTCAGTTTTAGTTATTTTATTTGTTGTTAAATAAATTGTTTTTATTTCAATCTTTGTTTGTCTCTCTCTCTCTCTCTCTCTGTGTGACATATGATAGTTCATGATATAATTATGGTTGTTTTTTGACAAGACGAGTAGGGTCACTGTGCAGAGTCTAGTAAGCTAAATGCCAGCCAAAATGTCAACTGTTTAAACGGAAGTATTAACTGATCAACCATCACCAGACAATACAATTAACACATAAGATTCCCTTGTACAAAAAAACAAATTTAGCTTCAGCCCTATGCTAATTGTTTGGCAAAACGACAACACGGTGAACACTGTTTTGGCAATGGTAAATGTCAATCTACACCTGGTACATTTTACACCAAAATAACTGTCTCGCTTGTTTTTAATTAATAAATATCCATTTTATCTAGACATGTCAGGACAGCATTTAACACAGTCTTGTGTTCCCTAGTCTGTCTGTGATCGTCTTCACTCGGCAGATCTTCCTCGCTTTCCTCGCTGCTGTCAATACTATTTTGACTAAACTCTGGCTCATATTGATATTGACGTAATGTGTAAGATCACTGAGCGAAAACTCAACGTTTTCTTCGATGGCAGTATCTGGTGATAATAGGTAGTAGAAATCTACCAAATCAACTGTCCCCCATGACGTCATGTCATGTGATGAAAACTCTGCTCATTAACTCTCAGTAGTTTCCGGAATACGAGTTGGTTGTAATGATTTTTGTCACCAATATTGCCTGTAGAATGTGTTCCTTCAAGAAGCCTGTTTTAGTATGCTTTATGCCTTTTAATTCCACATTTATAGTTTAGTGTACATCACCTATAATTAAAAACAATTTCTAAATATATTCAGCAAAGCAACAACAATTTTAACTGATAAAATTCGGGCCATAAGCCACAAGCAACATAATCTAGACTATCATGCAGTACATCAGCTTCCTGAATATCCCAGTAGGATTTACGTCATGTTTTGGCTACTGGTGGTTTAGGACAAAACTAACTTCTATTAAGAACTGCTCACTGGTTGATAATAGTTACACGGATTATTATATGATCACGTTTTGGGATTGCAATATGCGTCTTGTAAAATAGGCAACCAAATGGATCGATTTCTCAGCCTCGATGATTTAGATGATTATGTGTCATTGTACGCGACGGATGTTGCCTACATCATCAATCACTGGTTTGTCTGATCCAGACCAGATTATAATGCTATCATATAATAGCAGGAATATTGCTGAGTGTGGAGAACAACAACAAACTCGAACCATTGAATTGTATTGATTTCCCTTCAAAGTGACACAAGAAAAAAGGAAAAAATCCTTCCAATTTCTTCTTCATAATAAGAGTCCTTGGCAATTACAGTGCCCATGCAGCCACGAAACTGAGTGACAATGAACCTTTCATCACTTCTTGTCTGCTTTTAATCATACATGAAACACAGACTGGCAAAGGGAAGTAATCCTGTAGCGATTGTATGAAACGCTCGTACAATACTCATGACTGTGGATTTCAGCACACTGCAACAAGGCTTCATATTTATGAGCAAACCGATTATGATCAACACGTCGACATAAAATGTCCTCATCGTATCGTGACTGACAACATAACTTGGTATAATCGATTATTTGTTTAAAATCATAAAGTTTATTGATCCTGACTTATCTCTTTTGCATACTATCTTAAATATAACTGTTGCTCCTTGTGTTTGGTTTAGAGTCAATGTATGGGGAAGTAGTGGTGATAACGGTTTATCAAGAGCTGTCTTAGTTGCGGCAAAAGCTTTTGAGCTACCTATGCAAACATACTAGGGCAATGAACAAATGTCCGTTTCTATTTCATCGTCATCATAGTAAATGTTTCCCAATTGCGTGGATCGATGCTCATCATGTCAATGACTGGATTGTCTGGTCCAGACTCGATTATTTACAGATCGCCGTCATATAGCTGGAATATTGCTGAATACGGCGTTAAACAACAAACAAACGTCAATGTTTCCATCAAAAAGCCACTTCAAGGAAAGGGTACAGTTTCAATGTCGAAGAAACATGTTTTAGTTTGTGGATTTTTTCAGTTGCGTTTTGTGTTTACCTACAATACATCACTACAACACTCACACACTCTTGATACGTATATATACGATGATTGAAGAAAGTTACGTGTGTGCATTAGACAGCACTGCCAAGAGTGTCGTACTTGAACACCATTTGCAAAAACATTGTTTGTGAGAGAGGAAAGTTTGTAAATATCTGGACAAAAAGCTATTCCTTCCAGTGTATATACACCATAGAGCTGTCATCCAAAGACATATTGAACATTCCATAAATACCATATATGACGAAGGGTTGGAATGAGTGAGTATTCCAGTTATATCACGGTTTGTCAGCTTAATGTGGCAGAAAAGACCGAAATGATGCAGTTCTCAGACGTTTACAACTTCGGTGAAACCCACGAACACGGGTATGGTGCTGACAAACCTAGAAACATAATCAGGACGAACAGGGATTCGAACACACAATCATAGATTTCTAGTGTGCTCAAGGGACGCAACTCTGCACAGCGAATCGCGGCGCTTTAGACGACTTGGCCACCCGTGCCCCCCACGAAGGGTTGGAAACAGCCAAGACTTATCACACTGTTACCAACGTTTATGTCATATATCACAGGTGACTTTTGTTGACAAATCAAACCTGAAAAAGTTACAGTTGCTCTCACTGACAAGGCCTCAGATAACAGAACCATTATATGAACGCATCATTACATACATTGTTGTATCAAAGAACTGTGACATAACAAATAGTGGCGAGTGTGTAATTTGAGGAAAAAGCGTGCATCAGTATTATCATGTTTTGGTTCCAAAGTGATGTCCATTCGTCTTTTGTACTGGAAAGTACAATGATAGATACAATGCAGAGTCAAGCAAGTGTATCACCAAATCCCAGTCTGAAATATGATCCTTACTTCTCAATACAAACATGTTAACACATTGCCCTTAGGGGTTCCGATTTTCTGAATAGCTCCTCATTACCACATACTTTCATATAATGTGAGTTTTCTTGCTCATATTTAAATTTGCATTTAAATACCAGCCTAACTTCCTGTTTTCAGAACGTGCAGAGTTCAATGGAAACACTGAATATGTTATTTTGATTATGTTCCAATGGACAATGTTACAATGGCTTTAACATTAG